TGGATTAACTAATACACGCGAGTGTGATTCTTGACTATGCTCGATAAAGGTTGATGTTGAGTGCTTCTTGCTCGACTTGTCGTGCCAACGAGTTGCTAACAAGCTGGCTGCAAAGCTCGTGTGAGCTGGTGCACTGCGAGCTTACCCCAGTAGGTCATTACTCTGCATGACTGCTTGGCCACGGGAGTTAATAAAACGAAGTAGTTTTAGTAAAACAACGCAAGTTTTAGATCAGCCAATGACAGAACGATGGGGAAGCTTACTTTTACGTCGAGTGCAACTTCAGTTTAGATTAAACTTTGGATGGTTTTAGGAGCTAAAACAACGGGCAAAATATGTGAAAAGCACAATACTACGTATCTGACTCTGCTTCGTGTTCGTCAGCCTTTTACTGGAATTTTCCCTCGTTGCCCAGCAACAGACTGACATGTCAGTCACCACTTGTACAGCTGTTGTACCCATGTGCTTTTGTGATGTCAACGACGTAGGGTTGCTAGCATGTTCCACGACGGGTTCTTAGTTTTGCATTTCGAACGTTTTCACGACTGTCATTGCCAATGTATTGGTTATGTACTATACGTGTACTCGTATATCGGTACTAAGTTTGTAGTACTTACTGTTAGTATAAAACATAAGCAAGGTATTCTACTGACTGGTATGTACCAGTACTACAGTACTTACTAGTAATAACGTTATTAATAGTGGTAGCTACCGGTATAGTCATCCCCCGATTTTTGCAGCCTGGTATTAACGAATATCCTGTGTAATTCCATCGAATTTTCCATTTAACAGGCTATTGGAAAAAAAATACTGGGAGACAGTAGGAAATCAAATGCGGTGCTGGCACCAAGTCATATCATGATAACACGAGCGTTGTCCATTAGCCGCGCGAATTCTTGCAAAGAGGTTAACTCTACATACACGACGACACGGCTGTCGGAACAAATTTGAGCACTGCATAACAAGCTATTCATAGGACGTTGTTCGATGTTTGTACAGTAATACTGAGAGTGTACTTGCTTTGAGAAATTGGGCGACCACATTTCACAAAACGTGTAGGGTATTCGGATGTTTACGATTACTGTAGTACAAAATGGCACGTCTGCAAATACCTAACGACTGACGATTCACGGATGAGTGCTAACATATTACTACGTTGCACTAAGTTGTCCTATTAGTGTGGTAGTGTCTAGGGTTACTGTACCTCATTCGACGTATAGAACTCTGCGAGCATTCTTCATTACTACCTCTATCCCGAAATAAATCAAGCAATGACATTTTCAAGGGTTGGACCGGCATATCTCGTCCAAAACAGGAGTTTTCCGAATCAATAGGTATACATACATACATTCATGTAGAGAATTTTGAAAGGAATCCGAATTCACTTGGATAAGGGTATCATTCGGAATACGACGCAAGATATTCCCAAAAGAAACTATGAATGCTTGTCCTTTTTCACTGTGTACTGGCATGATTTTCATAAATTTATACCTGACAGCATTGATGATGTAATATTTAAAACAGGTTTATGCGAATGTATGTGGTAAATTATGTTTCGATAGGAGCAGTATAAAACAATAAAATTGTACGTAACTGACGTTGTTTGATTTATTTCGGGACAGAGGTACAGTAGTACTAGTATTAGGTAGTATTACTGTTAATAGGATGATTTTGCCATGAAAATACCATCTTACTTCGAAATATACCTGATGGGAATTGCCATCACTCGAAATATTTGGTCCAACATATGCATTTCAAATAGTTTTAGCCAATCGTATTCTACTCATGTGTCATCAATCGAAGAGATACCACACCCACACCCACACCGCCGCATCACACACACCTTTACGGAACGTGTATCCCACGAGGTCATGTAAAAGTTGTCCAACCACACCGTTTGCTTGCCCTACCTTCGTCAAAATAGTCAACACGCTACCTCATTGTTCATTTCACCAAACTTGCAAACATGAAGTCAACCGCGCTCTTAACTCCGATGGCCTTGATCATGGCCATGATGGTCCAAGATGCTTCTGCCCACGGCCGTCTGCTGGTGCCTCCGCACCGCGGCTACATTGGCAAACTGCCGCAATTCAGTGACTTTGTTCCAGTCAACTTCGGTGACCACAGCCTCAGCGCTGGTGGCATTAGCCAAACCAGAGGCGGCAAACACGGGATATGCGGCGACAGGTACTCTGGAAAGCGCTTGCATGAGACTGGCGGTGAATTCGCCAAGTTCCCCCAACATCGCGAAAAGGTCATCGGGGCCTGCTACGCCCCTGGCTCCGCAATGGACCTTCAAGTCCAACTCACGGCCAACCACAAGGGATACTTTGAGTTTGGGCTGTGCAAACTGAACTCGCTCAACGACAAAGAAACGGAAGATTGCTTCAAAACGCTTGTCCAGCCCAACGGCGAAAAGGACTGGCAATTGCCAGCGGGGTCCAAGACCTTCAACATGCAGTACATGCTCCCCGATGGCTTGTCGTGCGACGGCGACTCACACTGTGTGCTTCGGTGGCACTACGTCGGATGGAATAACCCGGATGTGGGTATCGACGGCCAAGAGCAGTTTTGGAACTGCGCCGACATTTACGTGAGCAACTCGTGCGGGTCCAGCCCGTCACCTAGCTCGTCCCAGTCCACGCCCAGCACGTCCACGCCTTCGACGTCCAAGCCGGCCATGACCAACGACCCCAAACCCACTGCCCCCTCGTCCAGCGCCGACACCCCTGTGACCACGGACACCCCTGTGACCACGGACACCCCTGTGACCACAGACACCCCTGTGACCACAGACACCC